CTAACAGCAGCAGCCTATAGCAGACTCAGCAAGTCTGATCGTAGGTGGGTATGTGTTACCTGCAACACCGATACGGTAGTTATGTTGGGTACTATCATTACTTTACTGACAGGTCTGAGAGATAAGTTGTCTAAGAATTCGGTAAATGATAGCATCATGAGGGGTAACAAAGCTAGAACGCATAGGGCAAATAAGAAAAAGGATACTGACAGGTCGGTTATCGACGGTGCTGTTAACAGCACGAGTGATGATGTGCTGAAACTCAGCACCATCTTAACATCGACTCCCTCAGTAAACTTGGGTCCCCCAGGGAACAGTCCTTGAATGAGACGGTGGTTCCCAAAAATCCTGTAGGTGGATGGACTCACGTTAACAGGAGTAATAAAGCCCAAGCGTCCCCGCCGAAACTGAACGTTCCAAGTATCGTGCGGAAATCAATTGATGCTTTGGCCGCACAGTCTACACCCAAGACTGTCCGCCCGGTCATCACTGAGCCCAGGAATCGAAAACGCGCCTCGACATCCAAACAACAAGATACCAAACCTAGACGCCCTGGAAAACCTGGGAAATCAATTGCGGTTCGTGACGACTCTGTCATAATCATGAACCTTATTGACAACCCCGACCTTCCTCTCAGTTTGCAGGACAAAAACGATAGGATGCTCTGGGGAGAATTAAACAAGAGGCTTGAACTCCCTAGAATAGAGCCTTTGACCGTCACACGACTCACTCGGGGGAAGGACTCTAACCACCTAAACCACCCGAGGCTGCTTCGTGTTACACTTAAGAATGCCTCCGACGTAGAGGACGTCCTGCTAGCCAGTCACTTTCTGAAGTCCGATGGGAACGTAAGAATACTGCCCGACATACCGTATTCTGAACGAAATCTCATCCGGAACATCCCTAAGGAATCTCGCGAGTCGTTTTTCCGTGGACGAAATATCATTGTGCAAGGTGTACCGGAAAATATGGACCCAACTCAAGCAAACTCTGATATTCGGGAATGGAAATTCATCAAGCATTCCTTAAAACTCAGGAACATATTGACCCAACAGGTAATGCGACTGGCCAAGAGAGAAGGAGACTCTAGGCCCCGGCTGCTGAAGATAACCTTCCCCTCCTCCCACATGGCGGCTGCATCTCTGGAAGCATTTCGTGCCAATAGACGTCGGTTGCCAACTGGCATCCATATGCATCCGGATAGGCCCCACGACAGCAGGATCAAGCACAAACGAAAGCTGGAGCTGACAATTCCACTCGTGGACTGTCTTGATCATAAAAAAAACGTGTAAAGGACAGGGACTACCAACTCGGTAAACATCGTATAGGTAGGCTACTTGTCCACTCACACACGACTCATATAGACAAACAAGAAGAGGCTCACGCGTTCCAAATTGAAAGCATAAACTGCCTATACACGAACGCCGCGAGCTTGCCAAACAAAATGGATGAGCTACATGAACTTAGCAACGCTAATGATGCCCATCTGATAGGAATATCCGAAACTTGGATAACGTCTCAGTTTACGGACCAAGAGTTAGCAATAACTGGGATGTCTTTATTTCGCAACGACAGAAAAACAGGGATGGGGGGTGGGGTAGCACTATACATACGGTCATGCCTGGATGCGCACCAACTTCACAACCAAGAGTTTTATAATCTTGACGAGTCAGTATGGTGCTCAGTAAGATTATCTACCACCTCGAGGTGCCTAGTTGGGGTCGTTTACAGGAAGCCCACTGCCGACATCGAATATGACAAACGCCTGCTGGAAGGATTAACTCGCTCTACGCGTCTCGGATTCTCTCATCTTGATTCTAGGGGATTTCAATCTCCCTAGAATCAACTTCGTGGAACATACATACATTGGTGGTGCCAACTCTACTGAAGCTCTGTTCTTCAACCTTATCGGCGACCTGGGATTATTTGAAAATGTGAAGTCGGCAACCCGTTGGAGAGACAGTCAGACGCCGTCACGCTTAGACTGGGTATTCACAAATGAAGAATTCCTAATTGACGACCTCTCAATCCTGGCTCCCCTGGGGAAAAGTGATCACGCCGTCTTATCATTCAACTTTGTCAGCAAAACGGAGCTACGATGTCCTACTAGCAACAGGCGCTGGAACTTCAAACGGTTGAATGTGTTAGCTTTACAGGACTATCTACAACAGGTGGATTGGGATGTTCACCATCAAATTGAAGTGGATGCTCATTGGGATTTTTTACTACACACGATCTTATGTGCTACTGAGCATTCAGTTCCTAAAATGGTCCCAAAAAGCTACAAGCAACCTCCAATCATCAAGAACCGCACTCGTCGTTTGCTAAGCCGCAAAAGGCACTGTTGGGCTGAATATAAACGAACGGATAACAACGGCGCGTACAGGCAATACAAACATATAAGGAACACATGCACAAAGGCAATAAGAGAAGACAGGCTTCAGTTCCAGACCAGGCTTATCGATAGATTCGTCTCCAATCCGAAAAGCTTGTTCAGTTATGCAGCTTCTCTTCGACAAGGCAAAACTGGAGTTTCCCAACTGCTTGGTCCTAATGGCCCGACCAACAACGACAGTGATGCCGCTAACCTTTTGGCTGAACATTACTCCCGGACATTTCAACTGACCCACATCAACCGTACTGACGAAAGCTTCACCTGCACCTGTTCAGGACTTTCCGAAGTGGACCTGAGTGCTGACTTGGTGCTCCGTAAACTGCAGAACCTAAAAAAAGACACTTCTCCTGGTCCGGACATGGTTCATTCCGCCGTATTGAGGGAAGCAGCTTCAATCCTGGCGACACCACTTAGCGTGATGTTTGCACACTCGCTAAGCAGAGGCAAACTACCGGAAATATGGAAGTTGGCCCACATCACACCAATTTTCAAAGGAGGTCGACGCAGTGAACCCTCAAGTTACCGACCAGTGGCCCTTCTCACCATACCTCCAAAAATTATGGAATCCCTAGTATTCGACGGCATACTAGAACACTTATCATCCTCAAAGTTCTTCTCGCCTCAACAGCATGGTTTCAGAAAAGGTCATTCTTGTACGACCAACCTGCTGACTGCGGTGGATAAATGGACAACCATCCTTGATCGCAAGGGGAAGGTTGACATCATTTACCTGGACTTCTCAAAAGCTTTTGATAGGGTCAACCATGCATGTCTTATCAAGAAGCTTGGACGATTGGGTATAAAACCCCCTTTAATTGACTGGATCACTTCATACCTAGAAAACCGACATTTTAAGGTCAGGGTTAACTTCACTCTCTCTCAGGCTATGGAATGTCCTAGTGGGGTCCCCCAGGGTTCAATACTAGGACCTCTTCTCTTCTTGATTTATATTAACGATCTTCCTCAACAAGTTTCATCTGATTTATTGCTTTTTGCTGATGATGTGAAACTTTGGAGAGAGATACGTACTCACAATGATATACTAGTTCTGCAGGAGGATCTGACCCGCCTTCAAAGTTGGGCAGACGACAACGGACTTACCTTCAACACTTCAAAGTGCAAGGTAGTCCATCTGAGACATGTTGCAGACTATAGTTATAACTTAGGTAACTCCCCTCTAGAAGTTCCCCAAGTTGAAAAAGATTTAGGAGTGTTGGTACCCTACGACCTGAAATCGTATGCGAACTGTGACAAAAACGCCTTTCAAGCAAACCTTGCACTGGTAACATTGAAGCGCATTTTTGGCCAGTTTGATGGTAGAACCTTCCATATAATCTTCAACAGTTTTATTCGTCCCCATTTAGAGTACGGAAACATAGTATTTCCTCCCTCCCTCCAAAAGGATAAGGACACTCTGGAACGTATACAACATCGAACCACGAAATCAGTTCGGGGACTCAAATTCAAACCTTATGAAGAGCGCCTCAAATCACTTAACCTTTACCCGTTAGAGTACAGGCGTCTTAGAGGTGACCTTCTTATGACTTATAGTATCCTTAGTACTTCTGGTCATCCCCTTAAACAACTTCTTAAGCTTAGTCATAACACTAACCTCAGAGGTAACACCCAGAAATTGGAGACTCTACATAGCAGAACAGACTGTAGACACAACTTCTACTCCGTTAGAGTTGTCAAGTGCTGGAATTCGCTGCCGACTGAGCTAGTCCAAGCGACCTCCCAGGAGTCCTTTAAGAGGAAACTTGACTTATTCTTAAGGACTAAGGATAACATATTATTATGATTTACCAAATTCTTTTTTTCCTCTATTATCGTTCATATACCTAGGTTCTTACCTGGAGGTATTGGTGATCCACTGCTATCAGACACGGAAGCCCGTTAAGCGAAAGCTTCTTCTATTCCGTCCTCAACCATTTGAACAGTCAGTTTTTATCATTTCATTTAGAAATGTGTTATCAAAATCCTATAGAACTTTTAAGTATATACTTAGGATATCCTATTGAAAAAGGATAAAGAAATGCGGTCAAAGAGAAATCAAAAAGACAAGCTCACCAAAAAGTCTTCGTTTTCATTCACTGTGGGGAAATAGTGAGAAAATTTACAACGGGCATGTACTCTCTTCCCAAATGCATCCTTCTGTTAAGCCTAGTTTTGTAATAGAGGTTTTTCTTGACATAAATTTACTTTCTCAGATGTACTACGTTGAGAATAATTAAGTGCATGTGATAAGAACGTGCTCGACTTGTGTCCAAACATTTGTTTCGCAATGGAAATAAAGGCGACATTTCGGACACAAGGTGTCAAAACGAGTAAGTTTCGTACTGTTTCCCCATAGTGAATGAAAACGGAGACTTCTCGGTGCATTTTACCCTTTATTTTCTTTTGAATTGTCCCATTTACTTCCCGTTCTTCGGTCGCTTGTTTAAACGACGCTCAGTGTTAAGAAATGAATTTAATGATTTTAGACAGGTAACCCATACTTCTAACATTATTTTATTGTCTTTTGGGTATTTTTCATGTAATTTTATTCCCCTTATAGACGTTTTCCTCCATCAAACAATTTCGGGTGAATAAGTTTTACCGATGCATGGACAATATGTAAGTTTGTTTGCCGTGTACATTAACAATTTTTTTAAAGAATTCAGGATGAATTGCAGTTATTACATGAAATGTTTCCCGGTGAATTCAAAGTTGACTTTGAGTAGGTCATTTTGTCTAACTATACTTTGATAATCTTATTTAGTTCAAATCAATGTACAGTTACTTTTTTAGTAACTCCTGGAGTGGGGTTTAATAATCCCGCAAACAAGTTTATAAAATTTAACCTAAACTTGAAGTTTACTTCAAAGGTTTGTTTATAATTACAGTTTTTTATATATCTTTTGATTCGTAAATTAAATATCACTATTTACAGTATCCAAGAGAGTCACCTACAATCTCTGTGGAATCTGTCCATGGTCTGAAAGAAAAGGATATTGCAAAATTATTATCCCTTCTAAAAGATTTAACTTTGGAACGAAACGGCGATCCAGTCATTTTTGATGTCGTGGATGTACGTAAGTTTATTGTTAATTGGGAATATTACATTATGTTACATCCATGAAGTTTTGTTTAAATAAACTTGGTTTTCAGAATTATAAACTAGATATATGTACCATATGCTATTGTGTAAAGCTGATATATTCACTTACACGATTTCAGACTTCTGAGTCTTTTAAATGATATTGAATATATTCTGCTGATGGATACCAAAATTGCCAAAAACCTAGGTCAGGTGCTTCGTACTACCATTACTCAAGCTGAAACCAATAAAAAATGACATATTATATCCCTTCGCGTAGTGACCTTGTTTAAAACTTAACTCCCACCATTTTGACGTGAAAATGGCATCATATGGTAACTGTTGGAAGATCATTTAGATAATTCAAAGGTTTTAAAGTAACTGTACCTGTGTGCTGTAAACAATTTATTGTTTCATTTTATCATATTGTATAAAATATGCCTCTAATTCTTTTACATATAGTTTTGTCGTGAATTTATTTCACCCAACATCCCAACTGTTGAGTGTGCAATATGCTTGAATTACTTCCGAAATGAAAGTGATGTCTACTGTACAACAAATTTTCATTATTTCCATACATACTGTATTGGTGAGTATATGAATCGCAGAAGAGTAGAATATGAAGAGGAAATAAACGAATTAAAAACCAGGTGCCCATACACTGAATTTCCACCACTTGAAGTAAGTGTACACTCTTTATTGTAAAATGTTTTGTTTATGGTTAATTTACTTAATCAATTTCGGCTTTGAGATTACTACCTAAGTACACCGTTTGCTTTCGATAGCAGTTATGTACCAAGCTACAAGCAAGCTCTTTTCTTCAGGAATTAAATGTATTTTTATTCATCTGTTTGAACTCTTCTCCAGCTTCAGTATGAGTAGCCAAGTGTGTAAATGTATGCTCGTTTGATGAATTGAGTTGACAAAGTAAAAATTAATTAGTACACAAACCACATCTTGATTTGTGAACAGTAATTTGTTTCTCATTCAATAAGTCTAAATTCTACAGTGATATCTGTATAATTTGACTCTTCTCCCATAGTACCTGCTTTGGTTTGGGTACCCGGGCAGTATCACAGCCCTGACACAAGTTAAATGAGATTAGCATGTGTATCAGGTGCCCCTTGTACCAATATTTATGTGTTTAAACAGATAAATAAATCATAGTACAATTAATAGAATAAGTAACCTATTATTTTTGTCGCTAATTAACTGATAAAATTTCAGTATTAGTTTAGATGATCAAGTTAAAATTCAACATTTGAATTCACTGGTATTTCTCGAGGGATACTTTTGTTTTCTACAGATTGAGTGTACACGCATCATCTTTAAAACATGACGTTCCTATCGGGGTCAAATAGAGATAGTAGTTGCTCGTTATATCTTCAAATTGATTTTTTCCTAACAGATCTTGTGCCTTTTCAGATTTCTTACAAACAAATGTGACAAATATAACATTTCTAGAACCCTCACAAAAGTTACCACAGTCTATTAGTATCGATCAGTCAGTCAGTAACAACTTAGAACTCCGTACGTACGTACATCAGTTCGAGTTGCCCTACCACAAATTGTGCAGTGAAACAAAGCAGAATATCTAGTAAAGTAGAAACAAGTATGACCGCATTATGTCGTCCAGATCAAGATGATTTTGTGTAAGACATACTTGTGTATGTAACTTGTTGTAAAAGATAAAATATTTGTAATGTAAAAGATTACAGCTGATTTATTTGTTAACTGAGTAGGATTTGAAGGGATTAATTATGATTTTTTTGAAAAATAGTCCAAATTGAATGAGCAGTTAGGGATATTACAAACACACTGTTAATTCATTGCTATATCTTAGGACGTTAACTCACATAATTAGGGAGTTAGCTACACAAATGCCCTGGTACAGCCGAGAGTGGGGAGAGTACGCTTTCCCTCTCCAAATGCTCTCACATGGCCACGCGTATATAGATTCTGTCATGGAGGTCCTAATCACTGCCTTCTCGTGGCGGAAGTGTTGTTTACGAAATTGAGAGGACGAAAAGCGAATGTCCGGCGCTTTAACTGGGTTGGTGGACACTGTGAGTCCACCTAGGGGAATTGGAAAACCCTCATTCCAAACCAATGGTGCACATAGGCTGGCTCCAGTATCCTGAGGAAAAATGGCGTATGAACCAATCGTTGGTCACTGGCTACCATGGGACTGCATCTCCTAACGTTGTTCCACTGCCTTATGAATCAGATCTTTAGGTCAAAGGCTCTGGGTTTGGCCCCGTAAGAAAACCACCCGTTTCAGTTTGGGCACTATCACAGCCCTCATACAAATCAAATGAGATTTTTGCGGCGCATATGTATCTGGTACCCCTTTGTTCCAATATTTGTGTTTAATTAAATGATTTCAACTTTGAAAAATACTGAAATCTCCACAAATCCCCTTCTAAATTTAATTAAATAAATAAACTCAGAATTAACAAATACACTTGCAAAAAGACTTTTTTTCATCATGCCTTTCTTGTAATCTGTTAAATCATTCCAATTTCTTGATCGCATACTGGATGAACGTTATTAGTTCCCCAGCTTCAGTTAAGTGATAATAAATAACTAACAGAGACTAAGTAGATCGATATACGATATATCTATCTCTTGTTCATTCAACATCTCAACAAGAAGTAAGCACACTTGCAATGTAAATAATAATTGACCAGTTATTTGGGATATGAATCCGTGTCTTATTCGGAAGTAGGTTTCCTCAAAAATGCAGTCAACTGAATAATAAAATAATAGCTACCTATTTTTCCAATCCTGTTATTCAGAAGGTTCTAACCCTATCTCAACTGCTACCTCGTTAATCAAAGGTAAAATGACATCCGCTAACCGCCACATCAATGTTTGTATGACTGAAACATTTTACATTAACTTATCCCTTTTATTCCGTCACCACAATTTTATTACTGCCGAACTTGTTTAGCTTGGTGAAGTCTCTGACAAAATAAAGAGTTCTTTGATCTTTTTGAGTAACGGTATGAGCATTTTCAAAATATGTTTTTCTCCCTGCAGACACAAAATATTTCTTGAGTACTGGTGTGCATCAATGTCTAATCCAGTGATATGGAATAAATCACTTGAGTGCATTGACTGTTTCACTGTCATTGGAAGTCTCGGTCTTTTTGGGTTGATGCTTGATGAAGTCTTGACACGGAATCAGAAATTCCGGTTGGTGTTTGCTAACTTTTGTCTCTGGTGACGTGGCAAGATTGGCGAAACCACCAAATTACGTCACAAAGCGAGTCATAAGCTGGAATCTTCAGGGCAGGACGTAGAGGCAGGTTGAGGCACAAATGGTGTCGAGAATCACGGTTCAACATCCAGACCTCGAGTACCATTTGACAACGGTTAAAAGAATAGTTCATGCAACAGTTGATTAGAGACTCCTGGATGGTGTTGTTGTAAATATGGACAGCAAGCTTGGTTACGTTTCTCAGTGTGCAGCTTACAATATGAATCGTGTAATCAGATAGGATAACATGCTAGAGTCGTCACAACATATGAAGTTTTTTCAAGTAGTCAGAAATAATAAAGTCATTATTTTCGACGAGATTGACACGAAAATCGCTGATAGCGTCTGTGGTATTAAACCTGCCTTCACTGATGATATAAACATATATACCGGCGACGGCATGCTTACATTGCAGTATCTTCGACCACTGACTATAGGATTCGAATAACCCGCAACACACCTTCCACGGAATCGAAAAAACAGTGAGATTTTGCAGACACGTTCACTAGCCAAAAATACTCTCTAAAACTGTTATGCCTATTTAATATGCTCAATTCATGCACTCGCCCTCCCCCACATATATGCCTCATTGTCCTTAGATTTGTTATGAATTCGACTATCTACATCGTACATAAGTTCATACCAGTAAATTTATAAGCTTCTTTTTTAAGTATGATGCGTTATACATTTATTCTTTTTCCCGTTACTTTTGTCTGCTTAGTCACGACGTTGAAATTCTCCCCTTGTAATTATTTGCCGAAAAATAACCTGTTGTATACATAAGTAATGACTTTCACACTACATAATATCGGGCCAATAATAATGTCAAATAAGCCATATCTTTAAACAAAGATCTTATCACTGAATAGGAACTCTGTTCTTACGAATTCACTAGCATATTAGACACTGTATTGATCTCTAGAATTAAGGTCTACTTCATCATTAGTATTATTATGGACCTAGTCTTAAAATTGTAGATTTGTCATGACGCACCTGCCCAATCTATAAGATCTTGTATTGAAGTCACATCATTGTCTACACTGACTCACCGTACGCAACAATCACCAATATGTGATGGAGAACACATTTAGATTGGAAATAGAATAATGTATTTAGTATGAATAAAACTGATAAGTTGCATAAAAGTGACCACGCCTGCAAGGCCGAGCCATGCCATCGGATGAATTTGAATTCGTTGAATTCTTTCTTCCCACCTTCTCTATCGTTGGGTTTTTTCCGCGATAAATTTTAATTATCTAGTTTCGCAGTTGTCTCGTGTTCGGCTTTCGGGATTTTGTGGTTAGGATCCAATGCCACTACAAATCTACAGATTCTTTTACATAACATCACAATGTGTTGAGTCAACGCACATCAAAAGTTTGTCTTTTATCTTGATGCATAAACCCCTGATGTTATATACACACAAGACGGCAAGAACTTATACAATAAATATATCTATTGCAACTATTGCAACGTTTAGAATTTGATAGGTCACCGCACGATGTGAAGATAATTCATGTGATGAGAGTCAGTTTGGTGGAAAATAAAGGCAGCTAGAATTCAGTGGATACATGAAATGTAGCTATGTTTGATAATGAAGGGAACAGACAGGGATTGAGATTAATATAAGTCTGGAATGAAAACAATCTGATAATAGGAACCAAAAGTTGTAAGAATTAGGTATTCAGTGTGTTACACAGCATACACCCATGACGTTGACTAGACTGCATTTCCGCTTTCCTAACCGTCACATGATCAGTACTATCCCGACCTTCCCCACACATACCCCCCTACTCGTAATACTTTCACTCTTCCATCCCATGGGTAAGCACACGACAAGGTCGAAACCGATGGCCAAGGCAATCTTTTGTATCCCAGATCCATGGCAGTTATTCTCATGAGAATAAGAATCATCCGTTTGCAGTTTATGGTATTTTACCAAGCCCATATTACTTACTTAACCCACAAACAGGCCGATTTATTCATTTTTTATGCCACATTTTGACTTTGTTAAATGATCGCCTATAAACCCTTATTGCTTCTGTTCGAGTGTATATTTATTGAGTACTCTTTCTATTCACTGCGTTTCTGTAAATTATTTTTTGTCTTAATAGAATTAACGACTCATGCTTTGCCCACATGGGTTGTATCACTCACTTACTCCGCTCAGTTTAGCTTTCCCGTTCTTTATTCCGAACGTGTAAATGGATAAACGATTGCTTGTAATAAATTTCTCCAGCGCAACTCATATTTGGCTTCTAACTTCCACAGTCACACAGTTGGGGTTAAACTTGGTAATACGTGGAGTTGACTGGTAAATGTATGTCCATAGCTTCTTCTTACAATAAGAACGGAATCAGATGCTGGACCACAAAACATTTAAATACCAGGCCACAGCACACTGAAATAACGAATTACG